AGGGTCCAGGCGGTGGTCGCCCTTGCCAAGCTACAAGGGGGCGAGGATGATGCAGAAGGCCCTCAAGCAGATCACCCTGAGGGTTCGGACGAGGAGAGTAGAGGGGACATCACCGGCGTGCTGCTCAAGGTGCTCCGACATGATCCATCAGCGTGAGTGTGCAGGTCTGAGGTCGCTCTTCGATACCACTCAATCGAAGCGCTCTCTGACTGAGACTTGTGGCCATCTCACAGCGAAGCTCGCCGTGCTGCACTCTTCAACCTCACCCCTACCGCCCGCACTCTGCCATACATCCTCGAGCGTCTCCGCGATGTGGACGCCATCAACAGAAGATGCGTCTACTCTGGCAGCCTCAGTCACAACATGCTGAATCAACCAGGGGCCACGGCGCCGAATGTACCCGAGTGGGCAGAGGTTATCAAGGTCGGCCTCGGTGAGCGCGAAGAGAGCGTCAAGAGGGCAGCGAGAAGGCTCATCACCTCTTGGGCTGATCGAGATGCCGACTTGGAGCCGGTGAGCACTCTGGTGCGAGTCCAGTGGGAACACAGCGCTGACGAGCACTCTTGTATCGGTCAGTTCATTGCGCGCTTCGACATCATCGCCGCGCCAGATGTCGCTGCCTCTGCGCTCCAAGCCCTGTTCGAAGCGCGGCCAGCTCTGCTCGATACCGTCACTTTCGGCGATGGCTTCTGGCAGAACCTGACCCCTGGCACCGCTTTCATAGGTCGATACTACGTGGAGCATTGTCGCACACTGGGACAAGCAGGGGAAGCTCGCCTCGAAGAAACGATGCCCGTGACGACTGCTCTCGCCTTCCGCACTCAAGCCGCGTGGGGCTCTCTGCTTGAGCTGCTGGAATCGGAATCGGAAGCTGCTGAGGATCGCGGAGATATCCTCTTGGAGAAGGACATGTCTGTCCGAGCTCGTGGGATCCAAAGCATCGTCAATTCGATGCTGCACATTGCCATGTCGGCAGACTACGGCGACGAGATTGGCAGGAGGAAGATGTTTGGTTTAGTTAGAAACATGATCAGCACCAGTCTGTTCCCCACCAGCTTGATAGAGTCTGCTCTTGATGTGCTCTTCAAGCTGAGTGCCGGACAAAAGGACTTCATGCAGATCGTTGTGGAGCTCGTGCAAGAGATGGGAGAGTGGGAAAAGGAAGGAGAGCGCAACAAGACCGACGAAGACACGGAAGAGAGCGAAGTGGAGAGCGAGGTGAGGCGTTTGGAAGCGCCAAAAGACCAATCGCAAGCCCGCTGACCCAGCTCGTTGCCTCCCTAGCTCACTCCTGTGCGCCGCGGTGGGGCTTCCCGCAAGACGCGGTCAAAGTCGCCAGACGAGGCCGAGAAGGCAAAGCAAGCGACGGTAGACATGCGTCGTCTGGTCATTGTGCGTGGAATGCTCGAGCGCATCTCCTCAGGTGTGAGTGGTAGAGTAGGTGCAAATCCTATCATGATCCGTTCCTTAATAGCTCCCATCGCCGTGTATAGGGCATCCAAGAGATGATGGGTCTGGTCAGTCAGCTGGTGACCCCAGCAATGCGCTCGCACGACGAGCTCGTGCGAGAGAATGGCTTCCTCTGCATGGGCCTGTGCTCGGTGCTGGATGCAGACGTAGCCGCCACGACTTTCCCAATGTTTTTGAATCACGTTCAAAAGTCAGCCGGTGTCATCAAGCTGAGGGCCATGCAGATCATCTTTGACATGTTGCTGGTTCATGGCATTGAGCGTCTCAGTCGAGCGCAGGTCGAAGCGCTTGGAGGAGGCAGCGCCGCCCAAGCCAAAGCACACGAGCATCTCGTCACGTTCCTGCTAGGACTGCTGGAAGACGAAGATGCAGACGACGAGGAAGCACTCAGGATCCAAGCCGCCGTCACTCAGGGTGTGGCCAAGCTCATGCTTGCCGGGGTCATAGAAGATGACGTTGCGCTCAAAAGCCTCATACTCATCTACATGACCCCAGAAACGGCTGCCAACCAAGAGCTGAGGCAGTGCTTGGGCTACTTCTTGCCGGCATACTGCTTCTCCTCTTCGAGACACCAACACAAGCTGCGAAGGGTACGTAGATAGTGGACGCGTTTGGGTCATTGAGCTGCTGACTGACGTCTTCACCAACACGCGAAGGTCCTCGTCGACACTTTT